TTTCCAGAAGGTAAGGTAAAGGAATTGAATGAGTGGGGAAATGGCCACAGTTCAATATAGAGGAGGTAGAAAGAGAATGAGTGGATAAGAAGAAAAGTAAAAAACAAAATAATAATAAAAAAATTATTCCCTTTCTTTAATCTATTATCTATCTATCTGTACATTCATCTATTTTTGGAAAAGGAGACTAGAGTAGACAGCAGATAGGCTGAGTTTGGTGAGTGTAACTAATTAAGCAATTAGGAGAAGAAGAGAGCAAGCGAGGACAGGAAAAACAAAAGCATAAAAAATGCTTAGCAAAGAAAGAGAAAAGAGAAGTGTGCATGGACTTGGAGCAGGGGAGAGGAAATTAGATATATGAGTAAGCCAGCAGAGACTAGTATAATAGTAACACGTCAGTAAAGCAGATAAAGAAGATCAATTTTTTATAAGGAGTAAAAAGAAAGGAGAGAGAAAAACGTTCTCCAGGCGTCCTCTGTCCTTTCCAGCCACGGATCGTCTCACCAGCTGTGTTTAATTTGCCAATTCCGGGTGGATGTTATGTGATTTAGTTGTTTCTTCTATCTGCTCCATGAGAAGGTGCAGGACGACACATCTGCCTATTTGACTCCATTTTGTCTCCCCCAGTTATACTGAATTTTGTTGTTGCTGCTGTTTTCCTGGATTCGGTTGAACTGAGTGTCCTGCACTTTTATTTCAAAGCCTGGCAACCATGCTCAGAGAGCTGGCTCATGCCTCAGCCGTGTGCACTCGGGGCACCGTGGTATGTGGCCGAGGCATCCCCTGGCATTAGTGGCAAAGGGAAACCAGAGGCTGATTGCCAGTTCTGTGCCGCTTCTGTGCCCGTACAGTGCCCCCTCCCTGTTTCGGACCCTGGAACTTCTTTTTTTTATTGCTTAAAGTATTACAAAGGGTATTACATATGTCTCCTTTTTCCCCCCACCCTTGACATTCCCCTGGCCTCCCCTACCCCCCAGTGTCTTATGTCCATTGGTTATGCTTATATGCATGCATACAAGTCCTTCGGTTGATCTCTTACCTCCCACTTCTGCCCCCCTACTCTCCCCGGCTTTCCCGCTGCAGTTTGACAATCTGTTTGAGGCAGCTCTGCCTCTGTATCTATTATTGTTCATAAGTTTATAATGGTCTTTATTATCCATGAATGAGTGAGATCATGTGGTATTTTTCCTTCATTGACTGGCTTATTTCACTCAGCATAATGCTCTCCAGTTCCATCCATGCTGTTGCAAATGGTAAGAGTTCCTTCTTTTTTACAGCAGCATAGTATTCCATCATGTAGATGTACCACAGTTTTCTAATCCATTCATCTGCTGATGGGCACTTAGGCTGTTTCCAGATCTTAGCTATGGTGAATTGTGCTGCTATGAACATAGGGATGCATATATATACTTTCTGATTGGTGTTTCTGGTTTCTTGGGATATATTCCTAGAAGTGGGATCACAGGAGGACCCTGGAACTTCTGACAGGATGGCCGGAGCTGGGAAAGGAAGGGATGGGGAGATGGGGGCTCACTTCTCAGGGATGGGCAGATCGCTCCTGTGTCACAGCTTTATTTCCCGTTGTAGGTGCTGACCCCCTATGCGGTTTCCACCCCAATGACAAAGAATCTCAACACCAGCCTGATAACCAAGACGGCCGATGAGTTTGTTAAAGAATCACTCAATTACGTCACATTTGGAGATGAAAGCTGCGGCTGCCTCGTCCATGAAATCCTGGTAACTGATAACTTCTCCTTCTGGAAGCGAGTGGGCACAGGTGCGCAGGCGGCCCTTGCGGGCTGAGCCAGCTCTTCCTCACTCTTGGAGGCCTGGTGCTCAGCCCCTGGACACCCCCAAGGCGGGCAGCCTCACCCCTGGCTGCCGCACTTCTCCCTCAGAAAGGAAGGAGGCTCCAGAGCTCCTGGGAGAGCCGGCCGAGACCCAGGGAGCGTCTCCGTGGGGCTGCTGTGGCCTCTGACCCCCTGTTAGTAAATGTTTAAGTCTGGCTCTCCAGGAGAAAAGTAAAACAAGCACCTGATTTGTAGCATTTGCTGATTTCCATGATTTAAATCCTCCAGTGTGCTGCCACTGCACATGAGTGGGGAGCGTGCACAGCTGGCTCTGTGAGCAGTGAGCTGGTCCCGGCACGCCATGGACCCCGTCACATGGAAATAAGGTTCACTAGCGCCTGGCACCATGAGTTCTCGCCGTTCCCCGGCCGCTTTTAGAAATAAATACAGGCCTGGCCAGTGTGGCTCAGTTGGTTGAGAGTTGTCCCATGCACAGAGGTTGCTGGTTCCATTCCTGGCCAGGGCACATGCCCGGGTTGTGGGCTTGATCCTTGGTAGGGGGCATGCAGGAGGCAACCGATTGATGTTCTCTCTTACATCGATGTTTCTCTCTCTCTCTCTGTTTCTCTCTCTGTCCCTCTGTCTCTGTCTCTGTCTCTCTCTTTCACTCTCCCTTCCTCTCTCTCTAAAAATATCAATAAAAACATATTTTTAAAGACAGAAACAAATACAAACATGAAACAAAGATCGATGCGAATGTGCATGCTAATAGTGAAAACACAACACAGTGTCAGTGTAGTGCGGTTTCCAGCATCACCAAAGAGCTTTAGACAGATCTGCTTTCTCCTGCAGCCTCATTGTAATAGAACCTGGGTGGGAAGAACATGAAGACACTGGGAAAGGGTGCAGCAGGAAGAGGAAGTTCTCGCTGAGAGGAAGGGGGCACGGGCGCTGCTTTACCGTGGACTTAGTTCTCTTTATTTAGAATTTCCTCAGGGCTGGTCCTGTAAGTGACTGTTTTGGTTTCTGAGAAAACCTTGTTTGCTGAGAAAGTGTCACAAAAGCTTTAAATTTTAGCAACTTCAGTCATGCACCATACAACTATGCTCTTGTCAGCAATAGACCGCATGTCTGATGGTGGTCCCATAGGTTACAATGGAGCAAAGATCAAACTTCCTATTGCCTACTGATGCTTAGCCACCATAGTGTTGCAGCAACACCATAGTGTTACTTATGTGTCTACGGTGATGCTGGTGTAAACAAACCTACTATGCTGCCAGTTTTATATTTTCACTGATCCCACTTCTGAGAATATATCCTAGGAGTCCTGAAAACACCATTCAGAATGTATGCACCCCTATGTTCATAGCAGCGTTATTTACAACAGCCAAGATCTGGAAACATCCCAAGTGCCCATCAGCAGATGAGTGCATAAAAAAAGCTGTGGGAGATTTACACCATGGAATACTATGCGGCTGTGAAAAAGAAGGAACTTTTACCCTTTGTGACAGCATGGAGGGACCTGGAGAGTATTATGTTAAATGAAATAAGCCAGTCAGAGAAAGACAAATATCATATAATCTCACTAATATGTGGAATCTAATGAACAAATAAACCGACAAACAAAATGGAACCGTAAGCATGGACACATGGCCTGTGCCTGAGGGGCGGGGGTGACTGGATAAAGAAAGTGAAGGGACTAGCTAAAGAACTTATATGCAAACCCCATGGACACAGGCAATAGCTTGGTGAAGACCAAAGAAGGGGGGATGGGGTGGGTGGAGGTGGGCAAAGGGGGGAGAAGGGGACACCTGCAATAATGTCAACACTAAAAACTTCAAAATAATAATAAGTATAGCACATGCAATTATCTATAGTGTGTATTACTTGATATGATAATAAATGACTATGTTACTGGTTTATATATTTACTGTACTATACTTCTTATAATTTTTAAAAATGTGTACTCTTTCTACTTATGAAAAGTCTGCTGTAAAACAGTAAGCCACGTTACCATGGCAGCAGCCTCATACTTCCTGTGTCGGCCATGTCCCTTGAGTGCATCGTTTTCTCTTGTGCTTGATTTAACCTCGTGTTGTTTGTTCACTGTGGCCCCTACGCACACAGAACCCACTGTTAACGTTGCCAGTGAGAGGCCACGCTGAGTGATTGACCTGGAGATGAGATGAACAGTGGTTCAGGACGACGGGTTTGGAAAAGCAGGGATGGTTATTGCTCCCCAGTCAGACATGTCCCATTCCACCACAGCGACGGCATAAATAACAGGGAAAAAGTGAGGGGAGCTGAGAAGGGACTGTATCAATGACCTGCACTGAAGACCAGTCACAGGAGCATGTCCCTCTCAGAACCAAGGTGGTCACGTCCAAAGCAAAACGTTTGTGATGCTGAGAGGAAAGGCTGCGCCTCACTGTGATGCTGAATTCATTGCTGGCTCCGGGGGTTTCCAGCAATTCAAGGATAGTTGTCCCTCCACAAGGTGAGGTGAGTGGCGAGTCTGCACGTGCTGATGTGAAGGCAGCTGAAGAAGCTTTGGAAACTCCAGAGAAGCGGGTTGTGGAGGAGCATCACTCGCCAGAGCAAATGTCCAGCACGGAGGGAACGCCCCTGTTGGAATGGAACCGGAAAGGACTTCCATCCATAAGGAGGCCAAGGCAAGGCCAGGTGTTAAGGCGTTTAAGGACAGAATCGCAGTCCTGCTTGGGGCAATGTTTCAGGCGTCAAACGGAAACGCTGTGTGACCTGGCGCAGCGAGAAGCGCAGGGCCTCCAGCACGTCCATCAGCACACACGGCCATTGTGCGGGAGCAACGCCCAGCCCTCGGTGCTCCCGCTTCTCCCCCAAGACGCCCTCCTCAGTGGCTATGCCAGCAAAATGGAGAAGCACTGTTTGGAGAATAGTACCTTTCCAGACTTAGCTTATTATTTACAATCCCCCAGACATCTTTGTATTGGTGATCTTCATCCCAAAATCGAAGTGTGCTTCTCCCTCCAAACACGCCAATGGATCAGGGAGTTATAGCAGCTTTTAAAGCTCACTACCTGAGGACGACCTTTGCCCAGGCCATTGCTGCAACTGACGAAGACGCTGATGCAATTTTGGAAAAATTACATCTTCAGCTGCTTCAGGAGCCTTGCTTGGGCTTGGGGTGATGCCACCAAGGAGGGTATGAATGGCACCTGGAGGAAGACACTCAAGAAGTTTGTCCATGACTTCAAAGGGTTTGCCAAGATTGAGGAGGCTGCAAGAATCCACAAGGCTGTGGTTGAGGTGGCAAACAGCCTTACCCTGGGTGTGAATGAGGGTGACAAGGAGGAGGAGCTCCGAGGGGTGGTCTGAGGAAGTGGCTGAGGAGGAGTTGTTGGAATGGGAACAGGAATGTGTAGCTGAAGAAGAAGCCAGGGGAAAGGAAACTGCAGGAGCAGAAAAAGAACCTCTAAGAAAATTCATGGTGAAGGTTCTAGCAGAAGGTTTGCAGACCTCAACAAGCTTCTTTAAAAGTTGTTCATTAATTTAAAAACACCAAAAGTTTTTCACTTACAGAGAAGAATGCTCATGTTGCATTATCTGCTCACAAGCAAGTCTATGATGAAAACAAAATTTTAACAAACCGCCATAGACATATTTCCAAAAAGAGTGACACCTCCTCAAGCGAGCATGTCATTGCCCCTGAAGACCTGCTAGTGGGACAGGGTGTGGGGGTGGAAGACAGTGATAGTGACGATCCTGACCCTGTGTGCACCTAGGCTAGTGTGTGTGTTTGTATCTTAGTTTTTTTGTTTTGTTTTTTATTTACTTAAATTCTTTATTGTTGAAAGTATTACATATGCCTCCTCCCCCCCCCCGCCATTGACCTCTCCCCAGCTGCTCCCACCCCCCAGCACATGCCCTCACTCTCCTACTATCTGTGTCCATTGGTTATGCTAATATGCATGCATACAAGTCCTTTGGTTGATCTCTTACCCCCTCTCCTCCCCCACCTTCTCTCTGAGGTTTGACGGTCTGTTCGATGCTTCTATGATTCTTGGATCTATTTTTGTTCATCAGTTTATGTTGTTCATTATATTCCACAAATGAGTGAGATCACTTCATTTTTATCTCAGAGAAAAGTACAGAACTATCTCTATCTAAACCAGTGGTTCCCAAACTTATTTGGCCTACCGCCCCTTTCCAGAAAAAATATTACTCAGCGCCCCCTGGAAATTAATTTTTTTTAAATTTTAATAGCAATTAAACAGAAAGATATATGTATTAATGTTTCTACCTTTTTCGTAAAATATAGTAAAGAAAGGTGTAAATTAGAAACATTGAAGTTTGAAATTATGAAACTATTTATTGAACTCAGAATAGAAAGGTAATACAAAAAAAGTTAAAACAAATGCACCTGTGGCCATCACCGCCCCCCTGGATTGCTGCAGCGCCCACCAGGGGGCGGTAGCGCCCACTTTGGGAATCACTGGCTTAGCATAATGCTCTCCAGGTCCATCCATGTTGTTATGAATGGTAAGAGTTCGTTCTTTTTTATAGCAGCATAGTATTCCATGTATCTTAGTTTTTAACAAAAAGTTTAAAAAGTAAAAAAATTTAAAATTTAAAAATAGGAAAAAACTTATAGAATAAGGATATAAAGAAAAAAATAATTTTTGTACAGTTGTAAAATGTGTTTGTGTTTTATGCTAAGTGTTAGTGCAAAAGAATTGAAAATTAAAAATACTAAAAAGTTTATACAGAAGAAAAGTTATAGCAAGCTAAGCTTAATTCATTACTGAAGAATTAAAAATAAATTTAGTGTATCTTAACTATATAGTGATTAAAAGTTTACAGTAGCAAACAGTAATGTACTGGGCCTTCTAATTCACTCACTGACTCACCCAGAACAACTCTAGTTTTCTGAGCGTCACTCATGGTAAGTGTCCTATACAGATGTACCATTTTTTATCTTTTATACCATATTGTAACCATATTTAAAATTATTAAACATACTTTTTCTATGTTTAGATACACAAATACTTATCATTGTGTTATAATCGCCTACAGCATTCAGTACAGTAATAGGATGTACAGGTTTGTTGCCTAGGAGCAATAGTCTATACCACACGGCCTAGGTGTGTAGTAGGAGGTACCATAAAGCATGTAAGTTTGCTTTATGATGTTCACACAATGACGAAATCATCGAATGATGCATTTCTTTTTTTTAATTTTTTTATATTTTATTGATTTTTTACAGAGAGGAAGGGAGAGAGATAGAGAGTTAGAAACATCGATGAGAGAAAAACATCAATCAGCTGCCTCCTGCACATCTCCTAACTGGAGATGTGCCCGCAACCCAGGTACATGTCCTTGAACGGAATCGAACCGGGGACCTTTCAGTCCGCAGGCCGACGCTCTATCCACTGAGCCAAACCGGTTTCGGCAAATGATGCATTTCTTAGGATGAATCCTTCTTGTTAAGTGACACATGACTGTACTAGAAGATTTTGGGACTTACCTTCAGTAGTCAGAAGAAATATTTCTTTGAAATGATAAATATGAACTGAGATGTTTTAGTTGTAACTTCCTTGCTCTTCTTTTCACCCAGACACTCATGTTTTTGTCTATTTAAGGCGAGCTTTCTGAGCCTGATCCCATCTTGGGCCATCTACAGCAGCTGGGTCAAGAAGCTACTCCTGACTCATTACACCAACTACCTCAAGAGGAACGCCAACATCAGATAGTCTGGGGGGCCTGATGGCCATCCAGCCTCATTTTCCTCACCAGGTTCTGCACTGACTGCAGAGGACCAAGGAGCAGACCGTCACCCACCACCCCCTGAAGCTGGAGGTCCATGCCACAGGCATAGTCCCTAGAATACAATTTGTGTGCCAAGTAGCTCATGTTAAAATCAAGGCCAAATGGAGACAGGCCTTGAAAATTCCCTGAGCAGATAAAGCCAGTTTATTCATACAAGCAAAACGTAGTTTAGCTTATTTTGTAAGACTAAAGATGGGACTCAGGGCATGCTGCCCTCAAATATGTCACTTGGGCATATTTATGATTTTGAATTAAAATTACTTAAATAGCAAGAGTACTCTGACCCTCCTTTGCCTTCTGTGACCATCTTTGGAAAATACAATGAGCCACACTAATTAATCTTAATATACGTGTTTATCCCAGCACATATCAATTATGGGGAGTTGGCATTTCAACTATTGGTGGAACAACTTAAAGTGTAGACATTGTACTTATAAACCTTCACATCAAACCCTGGTGAATTCGCCCTTGGGGAAGAACTTCCACAACCAGCAGCTTGAGTGAGAAGAGAAACATACTTTAGTGTATACAGCCCGGGGCAGGTGTTAGAAATAACTTTTAGTTGTGTGATATAGGGGTTTTCCCCATATATTAATCCTGGGTTTTGAATGATAGGTTGTCCACAAGCTTTTTGAGGGCCTTTACATTAAGAGAGAATTTGCCTCAAAATAAAGGCCCCAAGATGTTGGGCTGGCTTATGAAACAAGTGTAGAAAAGCTCTGTATTTTAAGATTTTTATACCCATCACCACTAGCACTAGCTAATAGCTAACATTTGTTGAGCACTAATAATGTGTTAGGGACCATGTACTCATTACAACGTAGGAAGGAGGAACTACTATTACTGTTGTCTTCATTTTACAGATGAGTAAACTGAGGCACAGAAAAAACCTGAGTAACTTGCACAGGTTCAGCTAATCAGCAAGTGGCAGAGCTGGGATATGAACCTGGGTCCTCTCCCAGCATACGTACTAAAGCACTACAGTGGCGCCCTGCCTTTCCGGGATGAGGTTCTTTAATTGGATTTAATGGAAATGGGTGAACCCTATTCCCCCTAACCCTGTGTTTTTTGCGTTCACATATTGTGAAGAGAGCTGAGGAATTGGGCTTCGCAGCCAGGCCCACGTGTCTCCACTCAACACTGACCACTTTCCCGATTTACTATTGTCTGGGAATCATTTCAGAGCAGGGAGCCTTGCCAGCTTTCACCGAGCTTTCGTTTCCGCCGAGGAGTACTGGGCTCTTGCTTCTTGCTTGATTCCCTTCTTTTTGTTTGGAGGGTGTGACACCCCAAGGAACATCGGCAGCTGGTGGTTTTGATGGAAGCATTCGCTCTGTGTCCTCCCAGCCTTCCATCTGTGCTGCCTCCCGCCTGCTAAAGGCCAGAGGATCCCCCTGCCACACTTGGTTGGAGCTGGGAAATAAGGTGATTATGGGCTGCTGCCTGGAAACAGTTGGGAGCTGCTGCTGGGGCTGTTTCCGGGCGCGTCATTCATTTCTTGTTCTTGTGGGATGGGAACCAGAATGCCCCACTTCAAAAAGACTCCTTTGGCCATCGCTTGCCAGAAAAAGCTGGAGACAGTCATCCAAGGGTCAGCGTGATTTTAATCATCTTTGTCTGCTTCTGAGGCCAAAAAAACATGGTTATTCTCACTGTAGTTTATCCACTGTGCGTAGGGCTCAGCCTGTCTTGACTTGCTAGTGCCCTCTAGTGGTCTGGGAGAGGACTGTTGAGTCTTTCTATCTAATCTTGCAGGAATTTTAGAACAGAATCCAACTTGTGGAAAGAAATCCCCCCCCTTCCCCCCAAAGTTCTTTTTTAAAAAATTGAGATATAACTGACATATAACATTATATTACTTTCAGGTGTATAACATAATTATTTGATGTAAGTGTATATTGCCAGATAATCACCACAAGTCTAGATAACATCCATCACCACACATGGTTATAATTTTTTGTTCTTGTGATGAAAACGTTTAAGACCTACTCTCAGCAACTTTCAAATATACAATGAAGTATTATTAACTATAGTCACCATGCTGTACACTATATCCCCAGGACTTATTTATTTTATACTGGATGTTTGTACCTTTTGACCCCATTCACCTATTTCTCTCAGCAACCCCCACCCCCAAAACTCTGATAACAACCAGTCTGTTCTGTATTGTTGTTGTTAGATTCCACATAGGGGTGAGATCATATGGTACTTGTCTTTTTCTGTCTTAGCATAAAGCCCTCAAGGTCCGTCCCTCAATCTTCTTTTTTTGAGCTCCCTGTGAGTGTGCATAGGTGGGTCATCAAAAAAGAAAGACAAGGAGGAGAGTTGCACTTACTCTGACCAGATGGCTGATGGGACCAGCGCACTTAGCCACTTTGGACTCTAGTTACTTCAGTAAAATTAAAAACTTTGACTACATAGTCTATAATTTTCTATTCAGCTCTTTTAGACTACATTCCAAATAAGTTTTGGAAATAAACTTTCTTTCTCAATCTTTTTTTTTTTAGATTTTTTTTTTATTGCTTAAATTATTACAAAGTCTTTCTCAATCTTTAAGAAGTATTTTTATTAGTTATAAAAATGCTAGAGGCCCGGTGCACGAAATTCTTGCATGGGTAGGGTCTTTAGGCCTGGCTGGCTATCAGGGCTAATCTGTGAGGGGCCTGCAGGGCAATTGGGGCCCCTGCTGGCACCTGCCTTCGTCTGGTGCCGCCCGCTCACCTGCTCCACCATCCCACTGCAGTCCGTTCTCATCGGGGCCTGTGGGGGCCAGCAGCGCGCCAACACCAGCCATGTTCTGCACTGCCCTCTGGTGGTCAGAGCACATCTAACTCCCAGTCAGTCGAACTCCCACCCATGGGGACAATTTGCATATTAGCCTCTTATTATATAGGATATGCAGTAGGAAATACAATAACTATAGAAAAAAGAGAAGAAAATAAAAGTCACCATTTATCTCACCACCCAATATTAACCATTCTTCACTGATTGTAGATTTTCTTTTGTAAATTTTCTGTATTAAGTGAATGTGTATGTGTGTCTAAATGCAGATTTTACATTTTTGTCTTTTCCCTTACTACTACAGCAGGAGAGATCCTTGTGTTAATAAGTATTCAAAAGATTATTACAGTGGTTAGCTAATACTTATTCATATGACTGAACATAATTTATTTTACCATCCCTTTTGCCTTGCATTTAGGTACTTTCAGATTTTTAAAATCTTATAGATAACATATAACAATGTACTGCCTTGCATGTGCATCGTTTGTGGTTGTCTTGAGTATTTTTATAATGGTTTTATTAATTCACGTATATACAATACACCCACTTACACTGTACACTTAGATTATTTTTATTATATTCACAGAGTTGTGCAAACATTGCCACAAACAATTTTAGAACATTTCATCCCCCCACATAGGAACCTCATACCTGGCAGTTACTCTCCCTTCTCCATTCTCCCTCCCGAGCTCCAGGCAATCACTATATACATTATGTCTCTATGGATTTGCCTATTCTGGGCTTTTAATATAACTGGAATCGTATAACATGTGGATTTTTGTTATTGGCTTCTTTCACTTAGCATAATGTGTTCAAGGTCCATCCATGTTGTAGCATGTATAAGTACTTCCTTCTTTTTTATTGCTGAACTGGAGGCCCGGTTCATGAAATTCATGCACTGGAGGGGGGAGGTCCCTCAGCCAGGCCCCTGTGCCCTCTCGCAATCTGGGAGCCCTTAGTCAGCAGTCGGACTTCCTTAGCGCTGCCGCTGCACTTGCCAGTCATGAGCCTGGCTTCTGGCTGAGCGGCACTCCCCCTGTGGGAACGCACTGACCACTAGGAGGCAGCTCCTGCATTGAGCGTCTTCCCCCTGGTGGTCAGTGCATGTCATAGCGACCGGTCGTTCATCCGTTCGGTCAATTATTATTATTATATAGGATAATATTCTATTGTATGCCTAGGCCACATCATCAGTTCATTAGTTGATGGACATGTAGGTTGTTTCCACTTTTGGGGCTATTATGAATAATGCTGCTATGAGCATTTGTGTACAAGTTTTGTGTGCACATGCGTTTTCACTTCTTTTGGGTATATATATACCCAGGAGTGGAATTGTTTGGTTGTATGGTAACTGCATGTCTAAACTTTGGAGGAGCTGCCCAGCTGTTTTCCGCAGTGGCTATGGCGGCAGTGTCTGAGGCTCCAGTCTCTCCACATTCTCGCCAGCGCTTGCTGTCTTTTTGACCATAGCCATCCCAGTGGGTCTCATTGTGGTTTCGTCTTCCATTTCCCTGGTGGCACGTGATGTGGAGCATCTTTGCAGGTGCTTATTGGCCATTTCTGTCTTCTTTGGAGAAATGAATACTTGGATCGTGTGCCCATTTTTAAAGGAGGTTGTCATTTTTTTTAATTGACGTGCGTGCATCTTTCCATTTCTGACTTCTCCTTGAAGTAGGATTTCTGGATGAAAATATCTAAACATGTTTTAGAGTTCCGAATACTTACTACCAGTTGTTTCTGGAAAAGTCGTATAACTGTGTGCGTCCACCTTCAGCAGTGGTTCTCCCCGAGGGCGTGGTTTGGTCTCTGGGGTGACCTTGTGCAATGCCTGAGGACATGTTTGGTTCTGCGCTCGGGGAAGAAGGGTGCAGCTGGCGTCTCTGGTAGGTGGAGGCCAGCGATGCTCTGACCACCCCGCATCGCACAGCACACCCCTTCCCTCCACCCACGGGCTCACCCGGCCCCAAATGTCAGTAGTGCTGATGCTGCGAACCTTCGATCTTTGTTTATAAGGGTGCCTGTCTCAGTGTGCCCCTGTTTTCTCCCATCAGTTCCTGGATGAGAATTGTGTTAAATCCCGCCTGTTTGGGTGATTAGCCGTTATACTTTTTAATGATCCCCCTTGGGATCAGCATGTCTGCCATTAATGCAAACAAGAGTGGGATACATTCAATTCATTCCCGCTAGTACTTGTTGGGGCCTACTATGTGTTCCTTATTGCTAGACCAGCGTGGGTTATGGAAAAACAGGACATTTACTATTACTAAGGACGTAATGATAACATGTTTACTACTGCTTTGAGACCTACTGTGTGTTATAGATGTGCATTTTCACTCAGCACAGCAACATGAAGTGCGTATTGTACCAGATAGCTTTAAGTGGGAACTTACAATTGTGTAACAGAGACTTCCCTGGTGACTTTAAAAAGGAAGACATTCATTTCTCTCTTGCATGAAAGTCTGTAGATGGGCGGTCCAGGGCAGGAAGGGCAGCTCG